GTGTGTGTGTGTGTGTGTGTGTGTGTGTGTGTGTGTGTGTCGGTCCTACAGCTTGAACTCAGTGCCTGGGTGCTCTCTGTGTGTGTGTGTGTGTGTGTGTGTGTGTGTGTGTGTGTGTATTGGTCCTACAGCTTGAACTCAGTGCCTGGGTGCTATCTGTACCTGAGCTTTTTTTTTTTTTACTGAAAGCTAGCATTCTACCAATTGAGCCACAAACTCCACTTCTGGCTTTTAGGTGGTTAATTGAAAATAAAGTGTTATAGATATTTCTGCCTAGGCTGGCTTTGATCTCAGCCTCATGAGTAGGTAGGATTACAGGCATGAGTCACTTGAGCCCAGCAAATTTTACACATTCTTTAAGGCCCACCTTCAATTATGTGTCCACTACTAAGTCTTTTGATTATTTTTTTTCTAGAAATTTGCTATCTTTAGTTTTTGTCTGCAGATTTGACTCCCATTTACTGTTTGTAATTCTAGTGTTGACTACCTCACTGGGTTACACTGGGTTACACTGGGTTAGAAGCCCCTGAAGTCACATTTCATGTCTAATTTATCTGTAATCCCTTCTAATCTTCTTACTTCAATTCACTTCTGGTCAGTAGAGATCAATAATGGATGATTATCTGTGAATCATTTTTTCATTTTATTATGGGTGAGTCACAGAGTGCTCTTGTACTGCTGTTATTCAATTACTACTTAATCTAAAATATCTGAAAGCCCATGGTGTGTGCCTGTTTTCTTAGCAGCACAGGAGGCTGGGAGTTGAGGATTGAGATTCAAAGCCAGTCTGGTCAGGAAAGTCCATGAGACTGTCATCTCTAATTAACCACCCAAAAGGCAGAAGTGGAGTTATGGATCAAGTGAGTACTAGCCGTAAGCCAGAAAACTAGAGAGCTTCCAGGCCTTGAGTTCAAGCCACATTACTGGCACTAAATAAATTAGTAAATATATTAATACATGAAAAAGTATCTGAGCTTTAATTAGAGAATCTAACAAATGCCTGAGCAAAGATGGAGGAATGCAGCATGAATGATACTGGAAAACACACTGGTGTTCATAATCAGTGTCTTTAGTGGTTTGCTGTGTGTCACACTTGTCATGTCTCTTAGATTCTGTACATTGCTTTTTCAGTCCTCTATGAGTACCAGGAAATACTGTCTTCATCAATGTATTTAACATTGAATTTTACTTTTTTTGACAGTGACATTTTTATTTTTGCCATGCTTGTATGTTTGTATATGCTTTTCTGATTTTGTCTTTATTTTATATTGCAGATTAATATCCTTTCAAGAATTTGTTGCATTTGAATCTGTCCTGTGTGCCCCGGATGCTTTATTTATGGTGGCCTTTCAGCTGTTTGACAAAGCTGGCAAAGGAGAAGTTACTTTTGGTAAGAGTGGGAGTGTGTGAGTACCTGTGCAAAATTAGACTGGTATGATCCTTCCTTTATCAAAATGGAATAAAACATCTTTTACAAAGTTAACATATTCTCCTTCATCTTCTTTTTCTTCTTTCTTTTTTCTTGATGTCAATTCCAAGGTTTGAGCTCAGGTCCTTGCCCTGTTGTTTGGCTGTTTCTCTCAAGACTGGCTTTCTGTTACTTGAGCCATATTTCTATTTCTTGTGTTTTGCTTGTTAATTGGAGATAAGAGTCTCATGGACTTTTCTTCCTGGCTAGCTTTGAAACATAATCCTCAGATCTCAGCCTCCTGGTTAGCTAGGATTGCAAACATGAACCACCAGCATCCAGCAGTATATTTGTTTAAAAAAATGTAGCTTGATGTTCGGGCTCTAGTTCATATAAGTATTTGGCTTAGTTTGTTACTCTGGCTTAGCTTCAGGTTGGTTACTATGTGGCATGACACTTTTGCAGAATAGAATGTGACAGCCAAACAGCACATTTCCTTCTCTTTCATTGGTTTGCTTTTGCAGAACCTTACGACCTACCTACAACCAGCAATTATTGTATACCCAGCTCTTCCTGTCTTCCTTTGTCCAGGTGGCACAGTTTGCTCTTAGAGGCACCACATATGTATGGTTCACACGTGTGTGAGTGTGTGTGTGTGTGTGTGTGTGTGTGTGTCCTGTTTGGGGAGGGCAGTTCAGCCTCTATTTTGGAAAGACAAAAACATCTTCATTGGAATTAGTGCTAAATCTCAAGAAAACACTGAAAAGATTAAGTGCTTAGAAGATTAGGATGTGGTGGGACAGTGATTCTTCTTGAGAGAAGCTGCCTAACGATGGTAGGTGTCAGAAAGCACCACGTTTTCCTTGGACTCCATGGTGCCCAGCGCATGTTGCCTGTGCCCCTGAACCTGAAATATATTGCTCATGAATGATTTGTGGCATCTTGATTGGGCTTTCAGGGGAAACAGTAAATGAGTCTGTTTTAAATGTCTTTTCCAATTTGTGCAGTCCTCTCTGTCTTATTTGATGCTTTAATATGCCTAGGTTCTGACTTTATAGAGACTGAATCACTTTCAGCACCGTTTCTGAGCCCAGTTAATTATCCTCTGAAGTCCTTATTTTATTTTTTTATTAAAAAATGAAGATAATAACTAAATAATGCGCAAAATAGTTTGACAGTCATCACCTATGGTTCATGTGGGACAAAGAATGGAAGGATCATTATTTTAGACCAGCCTGGGCTGGTCTAATTTTGGGTGATTCCATCTCCAAAAAATTACAAGTTAGAAGCTGGGCTGGTGGCTTGACTCAAGTGATAGAGTGCCACCTGAGCAAGGATAAGATCCTGAGATTAAACTCCAGTATGAAGGGAATAAAAAAGGAAAGTAAAGAAAAAGATATATAACAGATTTATCATGCCAACCTTGTCCTCCACCCCCACTCCTCCATTCTCACTTGACATAACAGAGTTATTCAAGGTAAGATCAGCTAGGGCAAAGGCAGAAGATTATGTGCTTCTTTCTAGAAGCTCTGATGCTTCCCATTATTTAATATGGGAAGATCCTTAGATTAACTTCACTTTATTTCTTTTTCTATCACTTAATTCCTTTTAGCATGACTGTAACAACAATTTTTCAGTGGAAAGCCAATTTAGAAAATGCCCCACTAATGGACTAGGGGATGCAGCTCACTTGCCTATGGTGAATAAGGCCCCCGGGTTCATCCCCAGAACTGAAACAAGGAAAAGTTCCAATATCAGCTTCAAGTAATCAATGAGCAGGGAGCTTATGCAATCATGTTACTTTGTGGGTTTAGCACAGAGGTACTGCCTCTCTCTACTATGTTGGATGAGTGAAAAGCATCTGGTTGAGGGTTAAGAGGACCTAGGAATGGGATTCAGATATTTTCCTTGCTACTTATCCACAGGGCAAAGTATCAAGGAATGTGGGTGGCAGCAGACATACCATGGGCCTTAATGGAGTAATGACACAGACGTTTCCCAGTTCAGGGAGAGGCAAGGATGTAAGGTATATGGTTGAAAGGGTGGATAGAGAAGTAGGCTATAAGGGCACAAGAGTCAACAGTGAATTTAGAGTGCACCAGTGGTCTGAGATTTTCTTCCCAGTTTCTTACCAGCTTCGAGGGACAAATCTTTTCAACTTTCTGAGCTTTATTTTCCCCATCTGTAAATAGCTGCCCTATGTGAAAGGATCTACCATATATTATCTGAGAAACAAAAGACCTCTGTAAAAGTAATCACAATGAAATAAAGAGCCTGAAAGCAGAGAGGATTTCCTTTTTTTTTTTTTTTGTTCTCCTTTTTCTATTCTTTTTCCTAGAAAGACCTTTCAATTTGTTGTTTAGCTTCTGGCCAGTTAGTAGTTTGCTCATACTCTGCTTTTGGTTGAGCACTGTCCCTTCTCTGAAGGCATATTCCAAGAGCTAACATTCTGATTGTCATCAATTCCATATGACTCTTGCAGACAAAAGCACTTTTCCAACTACCCTGTCTTCCAAATGTAACTTATTCCTGTCTTACCAAATAACAACACGTTGTCTACCTGCATATTTTATGATAAGCCAATTGGGTCCTTACCTTATAGGCATCATAAAATGAGCCATTTTATTTATTTATTTATTTATTTATTTATTTATTTATTTGGTCCAATCATGGGGCCTGAACTCTGGGTGGGCCTGGGCGCTGTCCCTCAGCTCTTCAGCTCAAGGCTAGCGCTCTACCACTTGAGCCACAGCACCACTTCCAGCTTTTCTCTTTTTGCTTATGTGGTACTGAGAAATCGAACTCAGGGCTTCATGCATGCAAGGCAAGCGCTCTACCACTGAGCCACCTTCCCAGCCCATAAAATGAGCCATTAATCCCTACTTAGGAATAGATGGAAAGAAAAATTCATAGACTAAGATACTTACGTGACTATGAAATTACAGATAAGTATCTCACTTCTATTATTTTTCATATGGTAGGGGGAAAATCATTAAATGTCATATATACGTGTATCAGTTTATTTATTTATTTTTTTTGGTGCTGGTCCTGGTGCTTGAACTCAGGGTCTGGACACTGTTCTGGACCTTTTTTGTTCAAGGCCAATTAGCCACAACTCCTTTTTTGACCTTTCTTGGTTGTTAATTGGAGATAAGAATTTTATGGACTTTCCTGTCAGGGCTGGCTTCAAACCACCATCTTCAAATCTGAGCTTCTTGAGTAGGTATGATTAGAGGCTTAAGCCACTGGTACCTGGCTGAACCATTTATCCAAATAAATAAAATCATACCAAGAGCATGGCAGTTTGGGTCAGAGTCTTTTAGACAGCAGGGAGCATAAGAAGAAGCTAGCAGCATTTTCTAGAAGACTCATGATGCAGTGGAAGAGAAAGAAAACACCTCACAGTTGTATAATAAAGCAGATAAAACTAGTCAGTACTGGTCTTGTAAACTCAAACTATTCAGAGTCAAATTCTAGATATATAAGTTAATTATCTGCCTATTTGAGCTATTTTAAGGTACAGGTAATGCTGATTTTCCCAGTTCTTTTCTTCAGCAACTTTTACAAGTCTGTTTTTCAAGAATGGCCCTTAGTGATTTGGGAAATTGCCTTCTTTAGTGTGCATCTTTGGGAAGAGTGAACTTGAAGTGGTAAGAGAGGAAGTATCTCCTCTTTTACTCCCCGTATTAGCTCAGTTAACAGTGGAGACTGTAGAGTGAGCCTTGTTTTCACACTGTACTAATGGTTCCCTGGGACCATTTCTTGAATCACAGGGAAGACTAGAAAGCCTTCCCCAGCCTTATATTTCATGCAAGTTGAGAGAAAACATTCTGTTTATCTGTTTATGTGTTGGGTTTTTATGAAAAGAGAAATGTTTGAAGCAGGGCTTAAAAGGGTATGTATTTAGTATGTATTTAATGAAGCTGTTAGTAATAACAACTTTGTCATTAAACTGTAGTTAATGTATTTAATAGTTATTAACCATAATTAATGAAACTGGTGATATATTTGACATGTATTATGATCAGTCTTATCATGAGGCTAATTGAAACAATACTTATCTTTATTTATTGATACCTCATTGGTTGTATCTGTAGTTATCCTAATTAGTAGCCTAAGCTCAGTACTAGTATTTACTTGAGAATTGAAATTGTGTTCTGTATGATAGCACTTTCTTGAAATGTAAACTTTTTACTTGGATAATGCATTACCTGTTTTCCTCTTAATTTCACTTCTTTAAGATCTTTTTCATTACAATGAACAAAGTGAAATGGTTAAGAGTTAGAAGGGACTTTTTTTTTTTGCAAATTCTTTATTGTGATTAAGTGATTACTTAATTTCACAAATTTCACAGTATTGTGGGATAGTGATGCTTAGTTAAAGTCACAAACACATTCTAACTTTCATGGGCAAATTGTCTATCATGGTCTATAAAGTTTATGAGTTCTATGAGCTTTGCAATACAGTTATTTCTTCCACATTGGGTGATATGTACATTTCTTTTGTTTTGCATAGCATCAGCTGTTTCCTCTTTCCTACTTGTTCCCTCCCTCCCATCGCTGCCATTGAGTTGCTTAGTTCATTTTGATCAATGTCCAGTGCAGCTGATGGGTCCCACTGTTGTATGTTTTTCCCTGATTCCCTCTAGTTCTGTGTCCTCCTCCTAATTTCCCTCTGGTGTGCACATATATACCATATATGTGATTAGCAGCATGGGGTTATTTAGTAGTGTTTAGACCAAATGAGTGGAGGTCCTTTGTTTCTCAAGTCTTGTCACCTTAGGTTTTGGATTTAATATCCACTTATCAGGGAGACCATGTGCTGTTTGTCTCTTTGCTCTTGGCTTACCTCATCCAACATAATTTCTTCTAGTTCCATCCATTTCCCTGCAAATGCCATTATTTTGTCCTTTCTAGTGGCTGCATAATATTCCACTGTGTATAGATATCACAATTTTTCCATCCACTCATCTGTGGTGGAGC